TAAACTATAGTAAAGTTTACCCCCTCCCCAGGGGGAAACGTGAGACCCCAGGGTCAGGAAATTCACAGATTTGGTAAAGCACCTTAAGACCCTTCCATCTATGAAGAGTATTTGATTCTACCATATCTGGGTCTTGAGAAGAAGATTTTTGAAATTTTAGTCAATTTGACCCTTTTTGGCCCCGCCCCTCAGGCCCCTGGGTGCCGGGGACCAAACCAGCAACTACTTTTGTTGACCTTTGGCCATGGAAGGTTCCTGCAAAATTTCATTGAAATTGGTTCATGGGTTTTGGAGAAGAAGTTGAAAATGTAAATTGTTTACGGACGCACGACGGCCAAAAGGCGATCGCAATAGGTCACTTGAGACTTTGTCTTAGGTGACCTAAAAATGGGGGGTCAGTGTGCTTCTTTTATTGTCCCATTATCATTTGTGTTATTTTTTACCTTTTTCAGGGTCAAAAATCAAAAGTGCTTCTGACAGTTACACTAAATACGTAAAAAATATCAATAATGTATAATTTTCCAGTTTGTTGCATACTATTTTTATCATATTGAACATTATAAAGTTGTACAGCAAAATTGAACCTGCTACAATTAAAAATGGCGACACAATGACAATTTAAGTGATCAATCTAGTGTTAAAAAAGGTGAAATTTTGGCCTTTTTTGAAGTACAGGAAATACACATTAATACACATTTTCAAAATGGCCGCCGAATTGGTAATTTTTTTAAATTCTTGTAAAAAAAGGTTCTACAAACAACAGGCATCTAGTTTTTTGACATATTTTTCAGATGTGTGTTTGCTAATAAACTTGATCATAATTTGTTAAATATTACAAAAACCCATTACACCAGATCAAAACGAGAATTGAACGTGATTGAAACCTCAGAAGAGTACATCCTTAAAGCCAATCACAAATAACATCATGAAAAGTGANGAGACTAGTGTGAAGGGGGGGGGATGATCTGGAGACTAGGTCAATCGTTCCACAAATTGTTGTAAAGTCATGCACTTTTCGTCTCCTGTAACATTATTTTTAGTGCTTAAATTATGGACATTGTATATATTATACAGGTTGGGCACAACGGCGCATATGGGTAATAATCCTGCATTTGGGTAACATCTTTGTATGTTATGGTTGAATGCACTTCGAATCTACTTTCACTATCCTATATAAAAAATCAAAATGTTGTACTTCACTATCTTTATTAAAAATCGCTATTTATATGGTTATTGTAAACAACTTTTGGTTGATTGTTTTTTCGTGTTTTGACTTTCCTAAGGCTTCGAAGGTCGTGAAATACTTTCAAAACCGAAAACTGTTCAACCAAAAGTTGTTTGTAATAATCGATAGATATGGCGATTTTCAATAACGTAAGTGAAGTACAAAATTTTGATTTTTTTATATATAGGATAGTGAAAGTAGATTCGAAGTGCATTCAACCATAACATACAAAGATGTTACCCAAATGCAGGATTATTACGCATATGCGCCCACCGCCCAACCTGATATAACGTTAGTCCTATATACTGGAAACAAATTAACTGGTCACTTTACGTTGTGATCAGTGTAACTGTCCATAATTTTGAGTCCATATGTGACCAAACACACGAAATATGGGATTCGGAATTATCGGTATAGGGGTTGAAGGATTATAACACGACGTGTAAAGCAGCCCCACATCTTTTGTGTCTGGACTTGAGTGATCCGAGTGAAGTTCCTGGTTGGAATGTACTGATAATTTCACACAGTCTTGCGCTGGCAATTTGTTTTATATTCTATACTAAAACCATCCTACCGACATCCAATAAACAACATGTAAACCAATGTCAACAGGACCTTGTGTGTTTACTGATAATGACAAAGACAACATTGTTTACATTTACCTGTTCACAGGTGACCTTCACTATTGTTCAATTTCACACGATATAAAAACTTACCCAGCTGAATCAGGTACGGGCGTTGTTATGAAAAACGCATTTTCTTGAAGAGGAAGCGCCTTTTATCTCATAAAAGGTCGAAGAAGATTTTGTACTGAAACTAAGTTATCATTTCCGGGACATGGAATTCATTCGACTAACTTCCGGCGGGTTGGTTACGTATACGTTACCGTTCTTGGCCACAGCGCGTGACTGAGTTTAAAGAACGATAACTCTAGGTAAGCAAAAAACGCCAAATCAAACAGTGCAAAAACAATTTAATTTGTGTTAAATGACAGCAACATGTATAATATAAATACACAGTTATAATGCAATACATGCCAGACGGATCCAAACATGTTTAATTGGGAGGTGGTCCAACATTAGTTCAGAGACATATAGTCTCTGATTAATTGAAAATTAGATACTTCATGGGATGGAATGAAATAAAAAATAATCTTCATATTATTTACCCATACATACTCTCAATGCCACGGCTTCAAATCATGTAACATGTATGTAAAAAATTTAAAACAACTTTTTTTCTCTCAAAAAAACCCATTTAGGTCTAGAACCATCATGTTAATAGTCTTTTATTTTATTTATTCTTAATAGTCCTTAACAGTCCGTTTCTACAATAACATATTATATTAAGGTCAAAGGTTAACTTTAAAAGCTTTTCAGGGTCAAATGTTAACATGGACTTTAATATATGCAAAACAAGTTTTAGAACATTCTTTTAGAATTCCATAAGGCCTAGGATCCTAATTATATTTGATTAGTAGCGTAGGTAGGTTTGATGGAGTGCTGCTATATGTGTTCTTATATCAATTACCTTGACATACGTTCAAGGTCCCAAGGATTAAAAATGTGTACAAAATCAAACAACATTAACGGAAAAAACCTAAGATCAAAAGCCATGATATTTGGATATGTTATGAAGACCAGCCAGCATCGTGATTGTTTTTCTATCATCAATAGCGTTTGGATCAAAGGTCATTTCAAACAGCTGGCCGGGACCAATGGTTAACATACATATGGGCTATCTGCTGGGTAAAAAATGAATTTTCCATTTTAAGTCCAAAAAGACCCCTGATCCTACGTTTCTGCGATGAAGTATCATAAAGTTTCCTCATACATACATGTTTAAGTAACATTGACCTAGTATCAAGATCATAAATGTCAAAAGGACTTGGGACATTATGGGTCATTTTCGGACTGAAAAAGAAAATTCAACTTGAATGTTTATTTACCAATTTGTTTTACAAACATAATATTGATTTATTAGTGCTATCTTTCTTGGTGCAGATTTTGTTCAATGCGCATGCGTAGATGCCCTACCATAGCAACAAAATTGCGTTGCTATGCAGAAATAACCAAACTATGGTGTTTTTGAAAAGTTAGAATGCAGAAATGAAAACCTCCGCATGTGACCATATACATTCCTTTCTACGAATGAACACTGGTATGACACTGTTTAAGCACGTCAAATATTTATTTGTTTGTTGCATGCGGCTGCTTTAAAAATTTACCAATTGTCAACTTAAACAACACAAAACAGACGATGTTCACTCATTTTACCATGAAAAAGGCGAGTTATTACCTCCCTTTGTTATGCCATATCTGCTATACCAGTTGTCGGATGAATTTGAAATATCATATCATTTATTCCAGATTACGAATATAAGAACTAATTTTAAATCCCTGATTGGGCCAGAAATTACCCTAAACGCCCCTGGTCCTTTGTTAAGAATGCAAACAACACTTATCTGAAGAATCATAAGGTCAATATCAAAGCTACTTGGATACAATCCTAGTAGCGTACGTATGTAATTTTTTGTACCCAACAAGCAGATCAATGGATTTAAGTTGGAAATATCAATCGGTTCGAAGTTATGAATCAATGACTAAGATAAGGTTCTGCGTGTAAACCATTATTGCAAAATTTGAGAAATAACAACAATTATCTTATATCGAACTAGTTAGCCCTTCCAATACTTGATCATCACACCAGTCAAAGGATATTTAAGAAATATCAGGATCTAGCCATTTTGAATATAATTTAAAATATTCTATAACCTCAGAAAAAAACTCTACTCTCTATTTCAACTGATCATGCGGAGCCTGTGGTACCTTACTATTTTGCATCTTTACTTGATAAGTTAAGACACAATTATAATGCATTTGATAATGATATTTGAAGTGTAAATTTCACGGGTTTCCATTCGTTTGCTTTATACTTCATCTCTGGAGAAATCCTTATCATCTTATGATGGGATATCCACTTTATAGAGAATTGGACTATATCCAGTTTATCTACATGTGCTTTTGCATGGAAAATTCTGATTTGACGATTAGCTAAAGGCTGAGGCACAGGGACATGGGAATTTGTTACAGCTATATTTTGACCTAAACTTGTAAAACTACTCTGAAGGTCCAAATATAGCTGTTACAAATTATATCAGGTCCCTGTGGACTGAGGTATATATATTTGAAAATGTACAGACTCATATTTGTGCAAGTAATATATTTTAGATATATTCCGGCTTAAACTGAACGAACATGTTCATCTATCCTTTTATTCTAAGTATATATGTTTATACTACCATGCATCATTACTATACCACTTATTAAAATTCCTGTATTACATTATTTTCATAATATCTATTATAAAAAGCCCGACCTATATCAGTCTGCCTGGTACAGTCACGGTGGTATTGGTACTTAGAAGATCGGGATTGAAGGACTGTTCGGATTATGTATTACGAACAATTGAACAGATGAAATCAAGGTTTTGTTTTTGGTTTCACATTTTGTATGGTAACGGTATTTTTGATGTGTTCCATTTTTCCATGATATATATTTATAAACTATTGTGAGCAAGAACTTTTATCGGATACATTTTGTCATTTCGATCCCTGCACTTTTTTCCAATTTCCTTTTCTCTCAGTTACGTTCTCCAAGAGAACTTAACCACTGGAATTTCAAGAATGCTCCTTCTTCTGCTGATTTCACAGCTGTTTTGAATGTAATACTTTATAATTTAATCTTGCTTGTAACAAGCATTTTCATTGGCTTAAACATTTATGTTATCAGTCCATAACGTAAAAAATGACGTCGCCGTTTGTAACGTCGCTTTTGATTGGCTGATACAGCGGCATAATGTTTCTAAGAGAAAAGTGTCCATCAATAAATGTGGATTTCTACATGGATTGTGTATAGTAGATTAAATTATAAGGGTTGACTTGAATATATTTTTTTATGTTATGGAGCTATAACACACAAAAACCGGAATGTACTCTCATCATAAACCGCTTCGCGGTTTATTTAGAGTACACTCCGTTTTTTGTGTGTTGTATACCATAACATAAAAAATATATTCAAGTGTGTGCATGCATGCCTGTGTATAAATATAGGTAATATGACTATCATAAGTTGCAGTTTCTGCCTATTGCTTAATATTTGAGGTTTCATTTTAGTTTAATAGGTCAACAGCCGAGGTTATTTAAATACAATATATATCAATTAAAAAACACCTTGAAAAGCCATTCTTCTGGCGTAAGTATATGTATATTCGTCTGTATGATGTTATTAGAGGGAAAGGGCCTCGATAACTTTTGTAAATGTTTACCCAATCCCGTTGTTATTGATGGCCTTACATTAACCTCAACAAATGCAGGGTTCAGATTCGGCTCCACGTCCATTTTTCCTTGTTTTTCAACATCACATTATTCAGTTAAATGGACACTAAGAATGTCTATTTATCAATCTCCTTTGCTATTTGCCGACTCGTTTCTTGCGCAAATGGATACATTTAACTCTTGCCAAAGCTCTCGTGAAATGATTTTTTTCACAAGAGTATTTTACATATACATGTACAAAACAATTAAGTAATTCTCTCACTCTCACATCCACACATTCAAACCAACAATTAGCCATCATCCTCATCCAACACCCTCTTCATCATCATCATCATCATCATCATCATTGTCATCATCATCATCATTGTCATCGCCTTCGTCATCATCAATAACGAAGTATGATCATCATGATAATTATCAGCAACAACAACATATTGTCATCGACATTATCTTACATGTTGTGAAATATATCGTCACGTGCAATGCAATTGTTAAAATTGAAGACGTCAGATGAACACATAATTTTGGTATTGCTTTTGTATTTATATTTATAGTAGGATATTTTAAGTAGTCCAGTGGCGTTGCGTACTTAGCGTTCAACCATCCATTTGCATTCATTTATTAATCGAGTAAAATACTTCAGTAGTTTAAACATTTAACTAATTATCATAGAAATTGTCAAGGTATAATGAAAATGCTACAAATCAAACAACAAGGAAATGGGCGCAAACGAATCTTGCTTTGAACTTGCAATTCATTGAACGTTACAATTTCGGAAGGGGCGGGGGGTCGACTTTTCAGCAATGTCTTTGAATATTGCCGGTTGGTTGAATGCTCCGAGATATCAACGAATCAATTTGAAAAAGAAAATAAAGAGCACGGTAGATTCTTCTCTAGAAAACCGTTTCATAGCTAGACTGGCTTTGAAAGTGTGTCAAAACAAAGGTTTTATGGTCAAAGCTGCTAGTGTGTAATTTTTTTCCTTGCCAGTAGGTGAATATAATTTTTATGACGGAAATGGCAATACAGTAGCTCGAAATTAATTGTCCGCTTGGCACGAGTTAATAACAAGATAAGGTTACCAGAAATGTAATTTCCTGTGTTTTTGTACATCTTCTTTCTTAACAAATCAACAAATGTTATATAAATAATTAATGACGTGGTTTAAGAGTTTAGATAACCCCTAGTAGTTAAAATCTTTCTATTATTAATATTTGATGACGTCGATACAACGATTTTGAGCCCGGGCATGTAATTATTGCAAGATCAATTTTAATATGGTTTTTGATTAATTGCTTATTATATTAAGATCTTCAGGAAATGTGCTGTATTCGAAAGACAGTACGGACCAAAACATACACCAGAATAATGGGATATATCCTCGATACTCCAGGGGTTACGCTGTCTGCATCCCTCATCCTCGATATCCAGGGGTTTCGCTGTCTGCATCCCTCATACTCGATATCCAAAGGGTACGCTGTCTGCACCCCTCATCCTCGATATCCGGGGGTTACGCTGTCTGCATCCCTCATCCTCGATATCCAGGGGTTACGCTGTCTGCAC